GAGCTGTTTGATGCTTTCTGATACATTGTGGTTTATCTCCTATACACCTTTGTTTACGTAAATCACAAAAGAGCTGGTGAAAAAATTATTCCCTTTTCTCCCTGTTATCTTAATGTGAGAGGAAATTGGGGGTGAAAGGAAGGGGGAGATTCATGCCTGTGGTACATGTTTGCGTCCCCCACAGGCGGGGCTGGTTTGTGGTCTCCCCTTTTTCCCCTGTTTCCTCCTCTTCTCTGGGAGCACTGCCTTGTAAATTACATGGACTCTTGATTCCTTTGATACAGAAGCAAAGGTGCAATTCTTTTTCCACTTACCCCCATGATTGCTGCTGAAGCCTTACAAGAGAGAAATACCAGGCAGTTTTGTACCTACAGGTGCATGGTAGGCTTCGTTTTTATCCCATGAGTGCCTGTTGTGTAGGAGGGAACCTGACAGTTCCTCTTGTGAGGGGAGATTGATCCCTCCAGGATGGGGAGACCTCAGGGTGAGCCAGGAGGGAGCCATTAACTCCCAGGAGGGTGGTATCCTGAATTACTGGGTGGTTATAACCCTGGTGTGTTGCATGGCCACTTTGCCCTGGTCTGCTGAGAGAGAGGGGGTTGTTTTACAGTGTGCCAGGATGGCAGCTCCCCTCTGGGGTGGCTCTGCTGGCAAGAGTGGATTGTGCTGCTACAGTCAGTGTGGAGGACTTGCAGCTAACACAGTGCATTTTCCAGGCTCAGCAAAGCCTGTCACTTGCTTAATAATTTAAATATAATTATGAACTGTCATTTGGGGCTCTTTTCTTCTCTTCATTACTTTTTTAGTGAGTTCTTAGAAAGTCAGTTTTCTGAAGATGACTATTTCATTTTTAGTCATGATAATATCTCATCTTCAGACAACTGGGGCTAGTGCTGCTCTCCTCTGGCTTCAGGTCACCTGGTGGAGAAGCCAGCACTGCCATGCACCTGAGTCTGTTTTATTTTACTTCAGAGATCTTCATTTGATCAGACAAGAAAGGAAAAAAAAACCCTTGTCCCTTAGGCAGTTGGAGAAAAGGGCCTTTGTCTGGCAGGAACGGGCAGATGGAGAGCTGCAGCCCTCAGCCCAGCTGGTCTGCAGCCAAATACTACTTTCGAAGAGCTGTCCAAAATCCGCTGTGCACCCGGATATAAGAGCTTTCCTCTGTTTGCTCACTGTGAGGTGATGTCTGTAGGTGCTTTGTGTTCCCCTAAAGCACCCGGGTTACAGGCATGAACAAATGTCCAGCCAGATGGGTGGTGGAACTCCATGGGGCTGCAACTCTGTCGGTAAACCCAAGTGCTTCTGTTTTGTTTGTCTTTTCAGGGTTCTGGGGGAAGGGAAAGATAAGGTTACATCTGTCCTAAATCCTTGACTTTTTATAGAGGTTAAAATCCCAGCTGAACACATCTCTTTGCTGTGTGGAGGAAATAGTTTGATAATTCAAACAGACTCCTTGTACCAACTCCTTGTCTGCAGTTAGTGCTGGGGCTGCCAGCGGGGTGTGAGGATAGCAGGAAACTGGCAACGGAGCTGTCTACAGAGGTATTAACAACAACAAAAAAGAAAAGGATTAAAAAAGGCAGATTCTCAATGCAAGTGCTCTTTTCTCTGTTTGTTTTGTTTGTTTTTTTTTTTTAAAGGTTAACTCTCTGGGTGAAAGATGCCAAGCTAAAAGCAACAGATGAAGAATTTCTTTCTTTTGCAAGCAAATATATAGAGAGATTCTAAGTGTAAAGGTCTCAGTTTCCTCCCTAAATTGCCCTTTCCTGTTCCTGAGTGCAGGGGTGGTTGCTGCTGTATCAAAATTGAGGGTTATTCTGAGGCTTTCCAGCTATGGTAGTGGCTGATGACCACTAAGGTGCATATGGAAGCAGAGGGCGGCGGCAGAGGAGGAGGGTTGGCAATTGAAGAATGTGCTTTGAAAAGACAGAAGGAGCAGCTTAGGTGTAGGTGGAAGGTTTGAGGAGCTGGAGGTCTAATTGTGCCCAGATTGTTTCTGCTTTAGCTGTTGCTCAGATGCCTTTTCTTTCTAATTCTCTAAGCAAATGGAGCCACTTTCAATGAGACAGTTGTTTTATTAAGAAAAAAAAAAGTGACCTAGCTTTAAGCATTCACTATAGTAGAGAAGTGTATAACATATGAAAGATTCCTGTCAATCAAGTGATGGTGTGTTTTGTAATCACTGAGTGAGAAGTCCAGATCCCTGAGTCTGTTCCCTGAGTTCTGTAGCTGCGCAGTCTGACCTGTGGCAAGTGTTTTAGGTTTCTCTATTGACCAGTATTCAAAGTTTTATCACAGACCATTAAAAGTAAGTTTCAGAATTATAATGAAACTAAAAAATCCTTTTAGAAACTGACCATTTATTTGCTATCAGACAATTCTGTTATAAATGCAAATTCTTTTTTTCCTCATAGCTTGCTGCTTTACAGCTGCTCATGAAAAGGAGAAAGCACAAATATTGATGAACATGTTGAACATCCTTCCCTGCCCCAAGGTCCTCTTTCTCTCTGAAGCTGAATATTTGTTTCCTCCTTTGCTTTTCATGAAGTGGTTGTAGGAAAATTCCCCATTCAGAAAAGAAAAAATAAGTAAAATCTGATGGACCTAACTTCAGTCAAATGGAAGAAGTATAATAACATCTGATAAGAATTTTTTCCATATCAAAACAGTAATAAACAGAAGGCTAATAAAAATATTTATTTGTGAATTTGCCAAAAATAGCTGAGTAGCTTGTGGTCATGTTGTCCTTTCTGTTGAGTCTGGTGAAATATAACATCTAAGTAGTGTCAGACTAAGTCAACGCATAGGCATGATATTTTCAAGGATGGCATCCTGAAATTGGATGATGCTGGTGGTAAAGTATCTGCATGTAGAAACCGGGGTTACAAATATTGTATCAGTCATATTTCAGCATCTGCTAGTCATCAGTCGGAATAATGCATACGAGAATTAGAAAGAAGGAAATATTCCAGCTTTAGGAAAGTATGTAAACAAATATAATTGACTCTTGCCATTAGCCCAAATGAAAAGAAATGTGTAGACTAGGGGGAATATATTGTCCCTAAGAAAGGCACTGCTTTTTTTGTAGGTTCATCCTTGACTTCTTTCATTGTTGAGAAGCATTTCTGTCCCTTGCTTACACTTTAATGGCTGCCTACCCTGTATTATCGGTGTCTTTATTGATGCACCAGAGTGTTCAACTAGTCTTGTGCATCCTTCTTCTTTTCTCTTTGCAGAGTGGGGAATTGTAGTTTATACTTTCATCCTTGTTGGAAAGCACCTGGATGTGAAGGCCTAGTGAGTCCTTAGGTATCAAAATTAAAGTAAACAAGGCTTTCTGGGGTCATCGTGACCCTCTTGTGGATTCCTCTGAGAGTTTGTTTATTTGTGTTATCATTTACAGTAAGTAAATATGAGGCTACAAATCTGTTTTGTCATTTGTAAAGGCTTTTATTTAGCTAGCTTGCTATTCCAGCATAGCAACTGTGGTCCTCTGTTTATTGCCTTATGTTCAGTAAATATTTTCTTTTCCTCAGTGTCAGTCAGAATTGACTGAAGACTTATTGATTTTGAAAAAAGGCACAGTTAGCATTTGTAAGCATCTTGGAAGAGGTGCTCGAACTTCCAGGGAACTCTGTGAGAGCTGGCTGTGCTCAGGGTTTTCCAGCATCAGGCTTCTAGGCCACAGGTGCTGCTGGAGCTGTGAAATGTGAGTGCATGAGGGTGTGATGAGGGTGTGAGCACACAGCTTCCCTCGTGGGTTTATACAATATTGACTTGTTTAAGTCCTAATTTAGCCTACAGGAAGCCAAATCTTGAATTTCAGTGTTTGTTTCTGCAGGAGAGAGCAAGATGAAGAGCCAAGATCAATACTGCTTGCAAAAACAGAGCAAATCAAACAAACTTAGACTTTTATTGCATCATGCCCCAGTCGACAAAGATTCCTATATAAGATGAAAGATAATGCCTGATTGTTCAGAAAATCTCATTACAATTCATTGTACGAGTATTTTGTACAAAAATAGAATTCTTTGTGTGAATGAGATGAGCAGGAATGATTTGTTGCAATGCAGTTTCTTTGTCTGTCAAAGATGTAATTTTCTGACATTGGAAACAAAACCAAGAAGAGACACAGAGTTTTCAGCTATTGCTGGGAACTGCACTGGAGTCTCAAAGAAGTAGATTGCAAGATTTGGTTTTTACTCATTTTGAATAAGAAACAAACACAAAGTTTTCCTACTGCATACAGATATAGCATGTGCTGCTGGTGTAATGAATTCAGTGTAATAGATAAAGTGGTAATTAGTTCTGACTGTCAGGAGCTTTAGCTCTGGGGCCTAAAAGCTGGATATGCGCTCTAGTCCTAGGTGGAAGGCAGCTTCTAAAATAGATACATACATCATTCAGAAAACCCAATTTTTAGCAAATGTCGTAATTGCTTGGCTGCGGATGTGCAGGGCCCGTTTTCCTAGAGCACACTGAATGTTCTGCACAGCTAAAATAGTCATACGTGGTGTCAGAGTCTGTGTCTGAGTATGTTTCATTTTTGTTTTCTGCTTCAGTGAACATTAACCCACTATATTCTGTTCCACACACAAAATGTTCTGATGATAAATCCTGCAGGAAATGTACTTTCCTGGAGGAAATGTGCTTTCCTGTTTTTGGTGGTGCACTGTAGTGAGTACCTTGTGTAGTAGGGGGAGGAGGCCACTTTAGGACATGAGTATCGTGCTTTGATTTTCCATTTCTGTTGCAAGTTAATGACAGGCTCTTCTGTTGTAATGTGTGCCTCTGAGAGGACTTTTGTTCTAGCTGTAGCTCTTCAGCTTGAAGTAGTGATTGGAGGAGCAGATTGTTAGACAGGGCTGGTAGATCCTGCTGCTGACTGGCACAGATGCCCAGTGCAGATATAAGATTGTTCTGATCAATGCTCTCCTGTTGTTGACATGACAGACAGGCAAGGAGATAAACTTTTTCCCTGCTTTTTGTCTCCACAGCACTTCACAGAGTTCCTGGATGAATTTTCACCTGATGTCCTAGGCCAGCTCTTGAATGATCCCTTCTTGTCTGAGAAGAATGAAATAATGGAGGTGGAATTGTCTCCAGCATCCCCAGCGCCCCTCATCCAGGCAGAACACAGCTATTCCCTGTGTGGGGACTCTCGACCCCAGTCGCCCTTGACCCACATCTCGACTGATGACAACTTCAATGAAGGTAGAACACACTGAGCCCATGTTCATTTGTTGTGATGATGCAGTAATGAAATGTTTCTGGTGGGGTGATGGTGCGCTAAGGGTGCATATGAATGCTTTTTACAGAGGTTACTAACTTTGCATTGTAATAATTTTGAGTCAAAAGTTGATCAAAAAGAAGTGGTAGAAGGGCCAGAAATACACTTACTTCCATATATCCAATCTGTGGTTGTTGAAGATAAATGGAGAATGATAAACCAAATGAGGATCACCATGAAGTTTGGGTACTGTAGAATAGGACTTGTAAGGAAAGGGTGAGGTGGGTTTTGTTTGGTCTTCTGGAGGAAAAGGAAAGGGAAGATCTTGTTGCTGTCCGTGACTATCTTGTGAAAGGGTGCAGTCAAGACAAAGCTAGGATCCTCTGAGAATCACAGTGATAGCATAAGAGACAGTGGCTGCAAGAAAGGAAATTCCAGTTGGGTATTAGGAAATGCATTTTCACAGTGGGATTGGGTCAGACATTTGAACAATTATCCAGAGATGCTGTGAAGTCTTCACCTGTGGAGATACTAAAAGCTGAGCTAGACAAGGCCCTGAGCAACCGGATACAACTTGGCCCATATGCTGAATGAGGAGTCAGATGAGATGGTCTTCAGAGATCCCTTTCAGGTTTATTAAAAACAAACAAACCAACTTTTAAACTACACTTCTTTTTAAGTGGTGAGTGTCTGGAGCTTTCTGTTATCCCAAAATAAGAATCAGGTCATCTTATTTATGTTTCTAAATACATGTGTGGGAATGTGACTTCAGATGCTGCCCCAGTCTTAGAACTGGTCTTGCTGAAGTTCCAGGGTTTTTTTCCTTTTTAAAAAAAGGCAAAGAAAAAAAAATAATGCCCATCAGGAAATAACTGGTGATCTTGTAAGGACCTAACTGCAGTTTTATAGTTTCTGTGGCTGTGTGAAATGGCGATGCATAGAAAATTATGAAAACCCACCGCAGTTTTAACAGTTGTCTGTAACTCAGCAGTTATAAACATCTGGAGGGGAAAAAGGGGAAATGCAAGAATGGTGGGAGGAAGAGATGCAACCTGCTTGTTCTGAAGTGGTTTGTCGGAGGAGCAAGACCATGAATATCTGGTAACTATAAGGAATAATCGCCATGTCAGACTTCCAGTCCTAATAATCGTTTTATGTCTTCACCATTAGCTCTACTGTACAAAGCAGTGGAGTATTAAGCTGCATCACAATAAAAGAGAGAGAGAGAAGTGCTTGTGGCTAAGCATTAACAAGCTAAGCTGTTTGTGAAGATCCACCAGACGTGTCTTCAAAGGCTGACAGCTTTGTAGCCCAAAGTGCTCTCTTAAAACAAGATGAAAACTGTTAGAGATTTCACAAGATGCCAACTAATAAAACCTGTGAGAAGGCTTTTCAATGTGAGACAGGGTTTTCGGAAATGATCTGGAAACATCATCTACAGAAAGTCTTCTTGTTTTGTATTTCCTAGCTGTTTTATGTGAATGTTTTTAAATTAACTCATACAGGAGATATTAATTGTGACAGGAAAAACAAGCACAAGGCAGAAACCAAGCTCCTCTGGAAGTTAATAGAGAGAAGTTTCAAACTAGGCTAAAAGTGAGGGGAGTTTCGTTTGGAGAAAAATCCTGAAGAAATTCATACTGCTGAGACCACTGGGTAATTAATAGAGCTCTAGTCAAATGATGTTTTAAAAAGGCAAGAAACATTAACAAGTGGGGTTTAAAAATGGAAAATGAATGGAAAACATTTCATCTTATGTTCACTCTGCAGAGTGTTTTATAAGAGAGGAGGAGGAGGAGGAGTTGTTCTTGGTGTTTGGGATTTTATTTAATCTTAACCCTGGAATCATGCTCACGACCTTTTCGTACCTGCTGACTTCAAAACAGTGAAGCTTGGAGAAATACTTGAGAAAATTGTAGTATTAGAATGAACCTGGCTGTCTGACAGATATTCAAAGGCATGACCCTGCTGATTTTTCAGTTCTTGAATCTGTGGGAGCAGGGAAGGAGAATTTTGTGGATGGCAGTACTGCAAGGTTTGAAATTGGAGATTGAAAGCATCTCTGTTGTTAGATGGTGAAGGTACACAGTGCTCCTGATAACTCTAATGAATGTCAGTCCCCTTGGTGGAGTAAGGGGACAGATACTGGGAGCACCAGTGTCCTTTGCGGGGACCAGGAGGTACAGGGTGTGGAGGGGGAGGTTCATATGCTCCAGGATCATCTCCTGCTGCTGGGGAACTGGGAGAGGTTTCGTGGAGTGGCTGGAGCTGAGAAATGAGGTTGGCTGAGTGACTTATTTATAGAACGTCCCAAAAAATTTTCATTCTCCAAATAATCACCCCACTGGGCAGATTAGTGAGCTATTTTTTTTTCTGTGACCAGGCTTTACGATTCTGCAGGACTCTGTCCTCCAGGACTGGGAGTGAAAACGGGCTAGTGAGGAGGCTCATGAGTGACATTTTGCATGTGTGTGTGCACATCTGCTGTAAACACACGTGCTGTGGACCTGTGTGCCTGCGGTCAGCAGCAGTGTGAGGAGGAGGAGGATGGCACAGAGCAGTTAAGCTGTGTCTGGATGCCATTTCAGAGCTTTGCCCTTAGCTCTAGAGGACGTGGCAAACAGGCTTTGTTCTTGCTTTGTAATGTAGTTAGTAATGCAGTGTTTTAGGTGAGTCTCTTAGCAGTTGTCCTGGCAATGAGTGCTGGCAGGTTCTTTCCCAGGGTGTGCAGAAATGCCATTCCCTCCCAGGCCAGTGAGTGTTTATAGGCAGGCAAGGATGGGGAGAGTGTGAGGAGCAGGAAACCTCGGGGTCTTTTAGGGTCAGGCCCTTTAGCCCATATGGATACATAATGTGGACTTGGAAGTGGAACCTGTTGCACATCTTACTGTCTCTCTCACACCAGCGGTTACTCTGTTCATGTGATCTGGAGCTGCAAACTCCTTTCAGCAAAGGCAGCTTCTCAGGTGCCATGTGCTGCTGTGTGCTGAGGTGCAGGCTGGCTCCCCGTGTCACTTCTAACTGGGTGCATGTTAATGCACCACCCGCGATGATGTGGGCAGGAGTGGCTTGTACTAAAGGGAAATGTACCTGCCTGCTTTTAAAATAGCCTTAAAAACTAGAGTTTGTCTCCTTGGTGACAGACCTGTTGGAGATGGCAGGTTAGAGTGACAGCTGGGGGTGTGTGGCCTGTCCTAGGACAGGATCCTGCTGTCTTTGTGGGCACAGGATGACCCTGGACATCGGTCTCATCCCCATGCCACTGGAGCAAGTGTGCTGCCACCAGGCAGGCCACATGTCATATTGCTCTGCTACCTGCCTTTCTGCCCTCCTCCTTCAGCTGTGCTAGCCTGTAGGAGGAGGGAAATAGATTTTCTAAGTTGTTTCCATCTGTTTCAGTAACACCCAATGTCTGTAGTGGTTTTTGAGGTCCAGTGTGCAGGGAGGCTGAGAACAAAGCCCACCTTGTTCAGTACATGATCTTCAAGACAGGTTTAAGTCATTCAGTATCTATTTCCATCTTTTGTTTTTCCCCCACAAGTTTCCCACAGCCTTACTAAAAATGTTTTTCATGTTTCCTTTCAGCCATTATGTTGGATTGATTGTTTGTTCTGCCTCCATAATCACTTTCTTGCCCACTCTTGCAGGGGAACGAGTAACTTGTGCTGGGAGCTGTTTCTTGTTGGCCATTACTTGGCTGTTACCACAATTTCTGCAATTGCTAAATTGACCTATTCCTGTAATTGTAAATCTTACATAAAGTTTTTCTAAAATGAGCTAGAAGTGTAAAACTGGGAAACTCATAAGCCTGGATTTAACTTTTCCAAGAATTCCTGTTAACCTCAAGGTGAGAACATATTTAAGTGTCTGTAAAAGCAAGGTCCAAACACCAGTTTTCCCCACTTATTCACTCTTCTGACTTCACTGTATTGAGGCTATTTCCCCAGGTTTGTGCAGAATAACTTTCCTGCATACTTGCAGCTTGTTGCTAGTGTGGGGTCTCTGAAGGTGTCAGTTTTAGAGCAGATGTGTACAAGACATCTGGCATTTAGTTTTTTGGTTTCTTCCCATGACGGGAATCTATTCTTAGATTGAATTTGCATAAACTTTTAAGAGTAAAGATACTAGAAAGAGAGAGATATTTATAGGCTTGACCTGCCTGCTTGCAGCTGGCTGACCACAACTTTTGTTTGCCTGGACTGGTGAATAAGGCATATGGCCCAAGGAGGGCTTCAGGCTGTAACATGGAAAAGTAAACTCTGTCCCTATCCATACCAGTTACACTGCCACCTCTATCCCACCAGGTTTCTGCTTTCTAGTTTTGAGCCCAGATATTTTTGAGACAACTGCAGAGTGGCTGCAGAGAAGGACAGTGGATAGTTGTGAGGTGGAAAATGCTCTTGAAAGGATATGAAGAATTGGGAGGGGAGACTGAGAATAGGGCTGATGGGTAAGGGAGACCCCTTACTGTGCATTTTGGCCTTTTGGGGCACAGATTCACTTCTGACAATTGTAAATGAATAGGAAAAGAAGCTTAGTTTTCTGTTATGTTTGGTGTATGTTTGTCTTCACTTTTTTCCAGCCTCTGCAGCCTTTTAGAAAGGGAAGGCTGTGGGTCGGGCAGGCAGGAGCAAGGCAAGACCAAAGTTTCATCAGGAACTATGGTTACCATCCTTGTGCCTTGAGATGTGAATGTAGACTCCTTCCCTGCCCTCCTATGCTTCAACTTCTCAGCTGTAGGCATAGACTTAAGGATAGTGTCTGTCTCTTGTTTTGGACATTTGAGATCCATAAATGACAGCCGAGTACAAGAAGTACCAAGGGGCTGGTGTGTAGCAGGAATGTGAAGGCAGAGCCTGCAACATCCATGTGAGGTGGTGCTTCATCCTCTGAGATCGGCTCAGGTGGTAGGGATGTTTTAACAGTCATTTTGCATTTTGTTTTTTAGGTGTTTTTTACTTTGTGAGCCTGACAGGGCAGAGGC